GACTTTCGGAAAGCGTAAAAATACACTCGCCTACGGCTCGTGTATTTTTACGCTTTCCGAAAGTCTCGCAACATCCCGCGTGCATGGATCACGCAATCTTGCACGGCAAACCATTCGGTATTCCTTTAATAATTAATAATGATGGTTCACTGATGGCTGCAGTATTAAATCATGATCATGACACATATACCATCGATACTAGTTGTTATAGTTTAAACATTATACTTGATTAACTTGAAACAACTGCCACTGCATATCTTGTGGTATTATCAACATTTTAAATAATTCTGAAAAATTAATATGTCAATGAAAAATTAGTATGTCAATCCATCAATATTTCACAAATGAGATAAACTAACCATTTGCCTTGTGCAATGACTTATAGCTATAAATTGACTACACCACTTTTCTGACTTGTCAAATTATGTTAAATTTAGTTAAATTTCAATACATTCATAGGGAATTGAAGCAGACACTGCCTGGGGTATACAAGAAATAGAAAATTCCAGGAAATTGCTGTGTAAAGAATAGGATGGCAACCAGCAATTGTGACACATTCCTTCTATCGCTGACCTGGCTTCAGCAAAGTTCTTTTACTATTTAATTTCAGGACAGGTAAGAAAATTTAGTTTGATTTTTTAAATATTTAATTTATCAAAACCTTAAATGGCATTACCATGCACTTTAAATTAGTCTAGGAGTCTATCAATCGATTGATATGTTGAATACCTGAAACTTCAATCTGTAGCTAATGCTAACTGATTTAAAACCGAATACCATGATAATTTTCTATGTTGGCGTAGTGTACTCTGTCTCTGATTCAGGTGATTATGATGCTTGTGATGTTACTCTGAGTGTATATCCACACCGGGCAAGCTTGAAAAATATTCCTGGCCAGCACCAAAGTTTGTAGGTTCGATTTCCACCATGTCCAGGCATATTTTTCAAGCTTCCCAGGTGCGCATAATATTCACTCAGAGTAACATCGCAAGCATGAACTCTTCCACAGATAGAGTATTTTTTTTTCGTTTACGAATCCTTTATAAACACTGTTACGTTCGCGGGCGAGAACGAACAAAAATGTATGTTTGCGTCTTCGTCTTTACGCTCGTTGACCAGACACAGCGACACGCGCTGGCCAAGGAGGCTTTCTCGTATTTGTAATATCCTTCTTCGCAGTCTTATAAACTTTGCAATGACAATAAACCAATAATATCAATTTATTCTTCTTGAACAACAACGTTACAAATTACTATTTCTAATCCTTTCTAATAATTTTCTCTTCTACTTTTCTAGCTTAAGCTTTGTCTGCTAATATAGGCTACTATCCGCAAGATATTTATAGAACATTAGTATGTAATGTAACATTACATATATACTATTTTTAGATATTACATAAGAAGATAACTATAGCAAAAGCATGAGTCAGCATAATTGCGTACAACACATCTTATATATATAGAACATTTATTTTATGAAATTCGTTACTTATTGAAAACTCGTTTTGCCTTGTTTTGAATATCATTATTTTGTGGGGCAAACTAGATTTTTTGGATGGATATCAGACTCTACGACTATTAGTTTCTAGTATACCACTACATAGAGTCATAGTTAGTGCAGAATATTTCGAATTTCAAGCCCTGCACTCTGGAGGAATATCTCAAAGACTCAAAGTGAAAAAGAAATGATCTTAATTGGAATCTTGAAATTTTTTGTTTCGGAATAAGTGAGGCTGTTTGCATAGTTTACCATTGTGTGAACTCAACTTAGTAAAGCCAAAGGTTTCAGTTTTCGCTTCTTATAGCAAGATTTTGATTTGAATTCTCTTCTTGACCATGTCGTTCACTTGCGATCATTCTGCATGCCATGTAACTGATAGTTTCAGAACCATCCTCAGTTTAATATTAATCTGACAGTGCAATCGAGCATCCTCAGTTTAATATTAACTAGTTTAATATTAATCTGACACTGCAATAGAGCAACGAAAAATTCGTTGGTTCGAGCGGGATTTGAACTCGCATCTTCGGATATCTAGACTGCCACTCTACCCATTGAGTCAACAGGGATTGGTAGCAAAGTGCACGAAATATTTTCGTGACGACTTGTATGGTTCTGAAATACTTAAACGACTTAACTCTGAGGATGGTTCTGAAATAGAATTGAAACACTGCGCGTCCTCTAAGACACAAAATAGTATTATACTACATCGCAGACATGCACATCGTAAACAAAGCTATTGTACGGACACGCTCCGTATTTATCCAGTTGTGCGCCAGTATTCTCCCTCCCCTTGATGGATATAGGACTTCAATTGTCTGGCATTAAACAGAGTAAAATGATAAAGTACTGTACAGTAGGGCGCATTACAATAGTCCGCAATGCAACTTAATGGATTAATCCTTTATGTGGCATTGTTGTGCCCTAACGTGCCCTTCTTTCCAATTTCACTCCACTCTTGTACCAAGAGCAAAGCGTGGGCGAGGGAGGCATTGGCACTGGGGAAATAGAATTTTTCCTGTGCTTTGATTGGTTCAACGTTTATCAATAAATTGCATGCCGTCAACAACCGGAACTCCTAATTGTAGGGGTTTCGGTTGTCGATTTCCCCTGAGCCAATGCCTTCGTCTCGCGCGCACAGGCATTGCTCTGGGTACGAGATTGATTTTACTCTGTCTAGCACTAAATAGCCTAAGCACTGCTGCCAGATTTTACTTTAAACAAGGGGAGCGTGTTCCGGCTAAATTGATTAACTTAACTTTATTTAAGGGTATTACTGAAAGGAAAGATCTCAAACGAAAAGTGCAGGAGCCAAATACAGAGAAAACGAATGGCAAGGATGAAGTAAACAAACAGGTAACTGTACCTTTACTGTATGTATTTAATGCATGTTATGCATGCAATGCTATGTATAGGCAAGACTATGCATGTTTGTGATGTTACTCTGAGTGTATATCCACACCGGGCGAGTTTGAAAAATATGCCAGGTGTCACGCGAAATTCCTGACTTGCTAAATACATGATTATCGCAGTTCTGCACATGCGCAAATGATGTGCGTCATCCACGTTGGCTCATGAATTTCGCAACTGCTGAAGCTACAACAACACGTTTTACTTTGAAAGAGATTTTTAAGTAATATTTCTGTAATACAATTTAATGTAGGATAATCACTAATCACCCATTTTCTCGGTGTTGGGCAAGTTTTTTGCTTGGGAACTTTTTGTGGTAATTAAGCATCTATGGTTCTATTAATCAGTGAACCACAGAAAATCTATTTCCCAGGAGGGTGCCACAAAATTGCTTTTCTAGGCACTTTTTCGCATAACAGACCACGGCCTATAACTCGTTGACTCGTTTCTATCTAATTTAACTAGTTGGTGGTGCGTATATTGTGCGTATGTTGAAATATCTCAATATTATGATTTATGGTTGTATGAATGATTCAATGTCATTGACATTATGCATTTGTAGTTCAAATAATTTACTGGACAGTCAAAACTGATTTAAAAATATTTAAACTTTTCCTTATAAAAACGCAGCTTAAAACTAGAGTCATACCTTACAATAAAGTCCAACATGATATCCAAAGATACCTACATAGGTAGGCCTAACACGCGTTATACTAGTATAACAAGCAACTTTTTCTTTGTACATATATTCTATAGACTATATGCAAAATATATTAATTCTATTTATTTATTATTCATTTCCCGTGAAGTCGCAGATTGTTTATTGACTATAGTACCTACGACCTTTGGTTCGATTCCCACCGTGGCCGGGCATATTTTTCAAGCTCGCCCGGTGTGGATATACTATACACCATAGAAATAATAGATATACAATGCGTACTTGATCACGAATCATGCCTCCACTTTTTCTCATGCGTGCCCTTATAAATCCGCCATGTTTGAATTTGACTAGGAGTGCAAACTACAAAGTATAAACAAAGCTAAAACTACGTTTTCATCGTCAAAACGTTTATCTTGTTGTCTAATTTGTAGTTTGGGGATAGATTTTGAGTTTTTTGAAGGCACAAACTGTCAAAGCAAATGTGCAGTTACAAAAACGGTGAAAATCGTGCAGCCTTGTAAACAAAGTATTTTCGCCGGTTTCTCGAAATTTACTCATAAAACATTTTTGCATGCTTTGAACGTCACTACTGCCACTGTTTTGCTAATATCTTATAAGATTACAAAATGATAGTTCTTTCTTCGTCGGGTTTCGTTTTTCTTTGATGTAAACGAAAGTTTTTTAGTTTTTTGAAACAAATATATTTAGTTGTCGATAGACTATAAATTGTCTAAATAATCGTCGAAAACTATGGTTTCAAAAGCGTTGCCTCAAGCTCAAGCAACACAGAAAAATATGAAAAGTAATTGTGTAAGTTAAAGATTACTGAACTTCATTTATGTTATATTATATTATAAAAAAGTTGAAATATTTATAGAACATACCTATTGAGTTTGAGTTTGTCTTTGATCTTTCGGGTTTTGTTTTGGCTTGCACAACAACGTTGAAAATTTATTTTTAAACGATGATTTCTGTGTATATTCTGTTCAGAACTGTTGCTTTTCGTAAAAAAGCCGACTAGAATGGGTTTTTAGACACTTTTTTGACTTTTTTTTTCCATTTTAAGTCTCGACATAAAATTTTTGCAAACGTTGCATTTGAAAAAAAACAATTTGCACTCTCTGCAACCGCGCGAAATTCCCACTGAAATTCCCTGCCGCCTGGGAGTCTGAGAACCAAAATGCCCTTATAAATCCGCCATTTTGTGGAGACAAATGTTTCACTGAGAAAAGATGGGAGTACGTATTCTATATCTATTATTTCTATGATATACACTCAGAGTAGCATCACAAACATATTATTCACCTTAGTACACAACACCAACACAGAAAAAAAAGACTATGCATCTTATTTACAGTATGTGAGCAACTCATATTGACTTCGGTAGCACACTGT